GCAAATGATGAACTTGAAAAACTAGGCTAGTTTTTTCAAGATGTGCAAATCGTGACGTAGCTCCTTTAAAGCAAGTCATGTCCTTAAGCTTTCGTACATAAACTTTCTCATTAAGTGTAACGTTTACTGTAATGCTCACATCTGACACGAAAAAGTAGCCGAGAATTAGCTACTGATACTAACAACAATTTCAAAAATGAGAATGGAAGGTTCACGCAAGCTTCGAGCCAACTAGCGTTCAAATATAACTACATCTGCCTGTTCATTATACATGATTTGATTTTTTTGTTTTCTTTTTTCTTTAAAACTTTTTTTTTCTGTGATCCGATCCGTGATCCGATTCGTGATCTGATCCGTGATCTGATCCGTGATCCGATCCGTGATCCAGTTCGTGATCCGATCCGTGATCTGATCCGTGATCCGGTCCATGATCTGGTCCGTGATCCAGTCCGTGATCCGGTCCATGATCCGATCCGTGATCTGGTCCGGTCCGGTCTGATCCGGGTTTTGTCGATGCCGTTTAAAATCACTTGAAATCAGACTTTTCTACCGTAAATTAAATAGCAGAAAGCGAGGAAATTCGTTAAGTGTATTCCACAGAAATTCTCCTAAATGCAGCAACGATCAGAGAGGTAAACTCGACTGAAGTTGACTCAAATTTTACGGTGAGAGAAACACGGCATTATGCGCCATTACAGCACCAAGCTACAAACAACCAAGCAAACTCTCACAACTTCAAAACTCTCAATTGAATTTACTTACAGTGACTTTCCTTGCCATTTTAAAGTGAACAGAGATAAACTTGCATTGACTAATCGTCAATGGACGTGTAAAAAAGGCAAAAGATTGACGATTACTGCCAACTTTAGGAGCGAAATTTAGGCTGCGAAGAAAAAATCTGGCCCATGGGCCGTATCGTAAAAAGCTGGACCGGTCACGTACGTATGATTAGCCAATCAAATTCAAAGATTTAGGAATCTGGCCTGCTCAGATGCTTGAGAAAAAATAAAACAGTTTATTATATAGCTGAACTGGTCTAGGATGAAAAGGAGAAATTCTGATTGGTTCCCCTAGCAGTCCAATACGGACCGCTAAGATAAACCGCTCACAAATTAATTTTTTTACGTACCAAGAATGGATCATGGAGATGCATCAATTTATCAGCAGATTTAAAAGAGCCATTATAATAAATACTTTATAGAACTAGCTTGTTCTGTCCAATGAATTATATTGGAGAATATTGGTCCCATTTTTTTTTTTTATGCTGGCTTATTATGGACCTTGCCTGCCACTCTGTCCATAAACCTGGGAAAAAATCAACCAACATTCGTCAAATACAAACCTTGCACTAGTTCAATAGCATATAATATATTAATTAGGTTTGGCTCATTTTGAGCAGCATTTGAACTGGGCCATTTACATTGTACTTTCTACCAAATAAGGTGTGATTGAGAAGAGGAAAAGACTGAGTACAGCATGTTGAAGATGGTCTCTCATCAAAATGCTCTTTAAGCTTTGTGCGCTAAACTGATATCCGATTACCTGTGTTTATGAACAAAACAACTCAGATGCAAAATACGTCACTGTGTTTTTCAGACACCCCATGTTATCGAGACTGAAATGGAAGTGGATGGCAGCAAACAAGGTAAGGCAATGATCCCTCTACAAACAGGCAGTGGTGAGTCCATGGACTTGCACACACCCAAAGAAAGAACCTTATTTTTGTGACTGATTAATCCTATTGGTTTTTAAGGAAATGATGATGAATTAGATATGTATGGCATTCCCGCCTCAAGTCTAAACCAGGTGAGATGATTTTGATATACACTTTGATCAGTGTTCAACAATAGTTGGATCACGTGTACTAAAGGCATCCTAGTTGAGTGTCAATCAATACCCTTGATCTACCTTAATTTGATCAACACTTGATCGACATCTTGATCAACACTTGATTAGGATGTCAATTGATACTAGGTCAACACTAGGTTGACACTTGATCAACATTAATCCTTAATTTGAGTGTGTGTAAAAGTGCCTTGTTCTCCACGTTTCTGTAGAGCAAAAAAATGTACAAATTTGTGTCATTACATACTTTATTGGCTCGTCCCCATGGGGCTTTTCAGAGTAATTCTAACTCATTTGTATTAGCAGCTCCTACCCATTTGAATACCAATAATACATGTAACTTTATTGAAACTAGTTAATATAACAGTCTGAAAAAGAACTAAAAATTTATGTTTACCTTAAGGTGGCTCAAAAGAGTTTCCAGCACCTAGATTTTGATAGGTCATTATAACCACTCTTTATCACTTGATGCTACAATCATGGTATCAAAAAACTGCCCAATCATTGGTAAACATGTTGTTATCATTTTCGTGATGCAATAGGTTACCATAGCAACAGTATGATCTCCTAAAAACACCCTTAATTACAGCTTTAGGGGCTTATAATTCAAAAA